GCAGCTGAATTTAGTTGCTTCCGTTTAGCTAGATGAAGCTTTAACACTAGGTTTAGTTTATTAAATTATGGATTTTAATTGTTGGTTATGGGCTTGTGTTTGATTATCTCTACCTATCATGTTAATATTTGATACTTCGAATGCTTGAATTCAGATTTTGTGTAACTTAGTAACCATTACATTACATGAACTCGTTACCTAGTAGTTTAGTGACTATTAAATTGCTAGAGCTAGGATCGACCAAATCTTAGATAAGTAATAAAAGTAAGGTGTTGTTTGTTTTTTCGGAGCAAAAATTTCTGAAGTCTACAGACCACCTCTGCAACCCTCTGTAGCAAAAGAGGTGGAATAAACGGATACAGACTGTAATTAGAAGCGTGTTTGATTTTTAACATCTCCAGGTTGCTGCAGATGTTAAAAAAATGATTTTATAAACAGAAAATAGTTTTTCAGCACTAAAAATTTAATAATTCTAGTCTTAAAACACTGAAATAAAATTCATACAACCAAATTAGTCTTACAATAAAAACAATTTGAAATAAAATTCATACAACCAAACTTTAATAATTCTCATTCCATATTTTCCATCAACTGCTCGACAATTTCATCCCGTAATTGGGTCATATTTTCACGGTCCGCTGCAGTACCATGTGTTGGAATCTCATCTCCATCATCATTAAATGGCACATTGTTATTTCGAAGTGAAACATTTGGTTCATCATACCGTGCAAAATACTCATCACTCAGTCTCTCTCTTCTTATAAAATTATGAAACGCGAAACATGAAAGGGCAATGTTTCTTTGTGTAACCAACGAGAACGGTACCATCCTCTTCAATATAGGAAATTGTGCTTTCAAGACACCAAAAGCACGTTCAATGACGTTCCAAAGTTTTGCATGTGCATGGTTAATTTTTTCTTTATTGGTTATTTGACAGAAATCTCCAAGCCAATACTTCACATTACGATACAGTGCCATAAAACCTCGAGTGTGTACATACATGGCATCACAAAGATAATATTTATCTATAAAAAAAGCCCAAAAAAACATTCAATTTTCAAACTAAGATAAAGCTATTTAAATAAACATAAACGTTACCTGATGGTGGAAACGGGAATGGTGCATGTGGATTTTCTACTGCTTCTAATAATATTTTGGAATCATGTGCTACCCCTTCCCAAGCGGCCACAACAAACGTAAACATCATGTTGAAATCACAAATTGCCAATACGTTTTGGTAACAATCGTTTTTTCCCCTATTTCTATATAAATCTTGTTTTTTTGCAGGGACAACAGGATTTATCAAAGTGTCATCAAGTGCACAAACTGCTCCATTGAAAACCCGTCGTAGCCTCTTATTATGTCCCGGAATATTTGGATTCGGATTAAAAGAAGTTGGTACTATAATGTCGTGTGCGAAAAGCAGCATCTTGTCCAACACTTCATGAAAAAATTTATGAATTGTTTGCTTTGAGTGTTGAAATCTTCACTTGATGAGCACATAACGTTAGTTATGATCGATCATCATTAAAAACATAGTCATATTTTCCTCAACCGATACATGTTTGCTATCCTTTAACACGTAATTTACTCTAAAATGAGCACATAGTCGTACAAAAGATTCACGTGACATGTATAGTAGTTCAACACATTGTAGAGGATTTTTTTCCCAATAACTCTAACGTGTATTCATGTCCCGTCATTTCCGAATCGTTGTCCCACACTCGTTTCACACCCCTCTTCCAAAAATAGCGTACGTACAAGTACATTAGAATAATGAGAAGTATCTTTTTGTCGTGATCCATTAGAAACCTATTAATCAACACAAGTACCAAATAACATAACATAAAATTCAAGTTACAAATAACATAACATAAAATTTAACTACCAAATAACATAAAATTCAAGTATCAAATAACATAACATAAAATTCAAGTACCAAATAACATAACATAAAATTCAAATGCCAAATAACATAACATAAAATTCAAGTACCAAATAACATAAAACTCAAGTACCAAATGAAAAAAACATAACCACATAAACAACACAAATATGTAAACCTAATGAACAATCTTTCCATCCTTTAAAAATCCTAAACTAGTAGCCGTCATCTCGATCCATCCTCTTAATATTTCTGGATCATTAGGCAAATTTACCCACATCTCTCTTATACTCATGGTCCCTCCAAAAATGTGATAACCAGCAAATCGTAGAGGGTCTACTATGCCTAACTCAAGCAATTCTAACTTCTCTAAACATTGAGGAATTGTAGGCCCCTGAGTCAAATGTCGTAGAGCTTTTTGCATCTCTAGTGCTAAATCGTCAGCAGTAATAGAAGTTTTAGGTGAGGCACAAGAAGGAGGATCAGGTGAGGCACTTGAAGCTTAAGGTCTAGGAGTTGAAGGTTTAGCCCTTTTGTTGGGGTTACTAGAAGGTGAAGCAGCAGAAGGTGGTGGATGGGTAAAAGGCTCACTAGCATGATTGGAAAAGTAATCATCCACATTTATGTTTATAGAAGGGGTGTCCATAAGTTGTAGTGGTGCGACATGGAAAGAAGATGATCCATGGCCCGATGGTGTTTGGGATGTGGCATATCTGAGATTACCAGAGACACTGTTTCCATCAAAGAGTTCTGCACAAAGCTCTGGAAACAACAATGGGACGGTTTTCAAAGAAGCAGCTTTTGGATGTCCCTAAACCCAATCAAAGTAACAAAAGTAGTATAAGAAAATTTGCCAACTATATTAGCAAAATACATAATAATGTGTGTGTGTGTATATATATATATATATATATATATATATATATATATATATATATATATATATACACACACACCTTTTTAAAGTCCTCCCACTCCTCATTTGTTAAGTTAAAAGTGTTTGTTTGAGGATTGTAAATGTTGCCAGTTTTGTTTTTCAAGTTTAACCATCCTATGTATTTGGCTTTAATGTTGTCATAGGCATTTTTCAATTGTCTTTGAGACAAATCCACACCATACTTTTCCTTAATGGCTCTTCCTAACTTGTTCCATGAATGTTTGTGCAAACTCAACCCTTTTTCTACCCACAGTCTGTACTTCTTCAATACAAGTGTACAATAAGAATTTTAACTGCTCATTGGTCCATGTATGTTTATCACCCATTGCTAATAACCAAAAAAACATATGAAATTCATACTTTAGCAAACAAAACCTTATACCAACAACTTTCAGCATAACAACAACTTGTATTGATTAAAATAACCAATTTCAGCAAAGATTATTCATATTTCAGCAACAATTATGACACTTCAGCAACATTTTATGACATTTCAACAATATTTCATGACATTTCAGCAACCATTTGTGACAATTCAGCAACAATTTGTGACATTTCAGCAAGAATTTGTGACAATTCAGCAACAATTTCTGACATTTCAGCAACAATTTGTGACAATTCAGCAACAATTTTATGATATTTTAGCAATATTTCATGACATTTCAGCAACAATATGTGACATTTTAAGCATAAATCGAATACGTTGCAACAAAAACTTATCATTAATCAAGATAGAAACAACATCATCAACTATTTGATAGGATTAGCATCAAGATTAAGCAAGAACAAAGATTCAACAATAAAAATCGAAAAATTAATATGAAGCATGAACGATGAAGTAACTCCACCAACAAAATCGAAATATTTAAAATAACCCTAAGCAGAGTCGCTGCCTTCAGCAGCAAAAAACGGAAAAAAAAAAAAAAAAAAAAACATGTACCTGCGATAAATGACAGCCGGCGTTGGAAGGAGAGGCGACCGGTGAGGGATGCGTCGGTGGTGGTTGTGCTGGGAGGAGGAGCGTCGACGGGAGGTGGGAAGATACGGAGGCTGCTCTTGCGATCGATGAGATGAATGAGAATGGGGTGTCGGCCGATTGTTTTTTTAGGTTTAGGTTTGAAGAGGTTAGAAGTATTTTCCAAGTGTTGTCCCAAGCAGAACATGGGCAGAGGTTTTTAACTCCGAAGTCTGCGAAAAAACAAACAACTGCGAGATAAAAAGTGTTGCGTGTGTGCTGCGCCGCGCAGCACAAAGTGGTTTGAAGAGGTTTTTATTAAAAAAACAAACACCCTCTAACTAATTTAAATGTGTTGGAGAACATAAATTGTGACCATAATTTTGTTTATTTAGATCAATCTTACATAGTTTATCTACATTCTATAACTGATTATGTGTTTGCTAGTGTATGACCATACATAGTTTTACATGAAATAGTGAAAACATTAGTAAATTTGGACTTGAATTGCTAATAAAATAATATTTGATAACCAACATTAATAATCCATAATTAGTAGTTAACCATAGAGAAGTGGATTCGAACTAAACGGAAGTGTTCTTAGTAATTGATTGAAATCGTTAGTTTAAGAGTTTAAGTTTGTCTGAACTTGCAAAATCAGATAAAAACTAGTTTAACTTTTGCTTGTTTTAAGTTAATTTTTAGTGACTAGATTAATTAATTAAATATGTTCCCTATGTTCAACCCCAACTTACTTTACTATGCTATATATACACTTACTAGGTATACTGTCTATAGGTGCAATAATAGATAAATAGTTAGGTTATAAATTTAAAGCTAGATAAGGTATAGTCTACACCACATCACTAGAATTCAACCTTTGTAGATGATGTATATGAAATTTCATGTAGCTAACAACATTTCGAAAAAGCAAATTATAACATAAAGAGAGAATGCTTCTCGACCATTATGCTTGTAATTTTGTTACAAACTATTTAAAAGATCCCTTTAGGTTTTTTTTAAAGCAAATAAAATGATTGTCATTCAATCAAATATCAGGAAACCAATTCATTCATAGGCACAAGTTGCTGATTATTAAAGAAAACACAAGAAATAAAATAGAGGGTCCTAGAATTAAAAGACATAAAATTCAGGGGTATTTTTTGTCATATATCAAAAACTAGATCCCTCTTGGTATTTTAGCGGGAATAATGCCAAACGGACAAACATACAGATACAGCTATTTCTTCTTCACCACCACCCAACAACAGATCTGAGTTCTGACACACACCAGTACACCATCACTTTCACACACTATGCCTAAACCGTCACCGGCGTCTCCGCCACCTCCGCCGCCGCAAACCCCCCTCAAAAACCCATTAATCAGACTCTTCTTCATCTTCTTCCTCTGTTATACTGTGTATATTCTCGGCTCACACAGATCCACCATCAACACCTCCTTTACACCCACAACGAAAAACCAACAAAACTGCTTAAATCCCATCACCGTTTTCACGAACTTCTCCCACCAAAACACTCCGCCACCGCTCGATTTCAAACCTCACAACACCCTCCTCCCTCCGCCACCACAAAAGTTCCAGATTTGCCCTGCTAATTTCACCCATTACTGCCCTTGTCAGGATCCACAAAGAGAAAGACTGTTTAAAGTAGAGAAAATGTTACACCGGGAGCGACACTGTCCTGCCACCGCTGGAGAGATTCTCCGGTGTCTTGTACCGGAACCGGTGGGGTACAAGAAGCCATTTCCATGGCCGAAAAGTAGAGCTCAAGCTTGGTTCAGTAATGTGCCATTCAAGACGCTGACGGAGTCTAAGAAACAGCAGAACTGGGTCCGATTGGTCGGCGATCGGCTGGTTTTTCCCGGCGGTGGAACTTCTTTCCAGAAAGGAGTGAAGGGTTATATCGATCAATTGAAGAAGATGGTGCCATTGGAATCTGGAGCTATTAGAACTGTTCTCGATACAGGGTGTGGGGTAAGTGACGTGTGATTCTTGAAATCAAGTTCATTTATCAAGATTCTAATCGTATAAGCTAGTTCTTCCTTAATTAGTGCTTTTTTTCTTTAATTGATTAGTATGCACAAAACCGATCAAACCGGTCCGGTCTAAACGCTTTAAACAAATAAAACCAGTCTTCTTTTTAGGACCGACCAAACATCGTTAGTAACTTAGTATTGACTTTTTATATAAAACGTTTGTCGCTTGTTAGTTGTAATTGTAAATGTTTGTCATTTTGTACATACATAAATAAATAAAAAGTGGTTTTAAACTTATTGTATGCCAGCGAAACCGGTCCATCTCTTATTAGTATTATTGGTTTAACCATGGCAGGTTGCAAGCTTTGGAGATTCGCTAATGGATTACAACATTATAACAATGTCTATAGCTCCAAGAGATGTACACGAAGCTCAGGTGCAATTTGCCCTAGAAAGAGGCCTCCCCGCTATGCTTGGTGTCCTTGGCACCTACAGACTACCCTACCCATCAAGATCATTCGACATGGCTCATTGCTCTCGTTGCCTCATCCCATGGACACAATATGGTACTTACACAAACCCTAAAATTACATCTCATAATCATTTCCATCATAATGCATATGTTATGATAATGATGATGATGTTGTCTTGTTGTCATGTTGTGTTGCTAGATGGATTGTATCTAATGGAAATTGATCGGGTCTTAAGGCCCGGTGGTTACTGGGTGTTGTCGGGCCCGCCTATTAACTGGCGGGCCCGCTACACCGCCTCAGACGGAACCACCAAGGACCCTAAAAAAGAGCTTAGTAGTTTGGAGGATCTTGCTAGACGACTTTGTTGGAAAAAGATTAAAGGAAAAGGGCCGATTGCAGTGTGGCAAAAACCTAATAATCATATCGAATGCATCGAAAAGAAAAAAGATTTGAAATCTCCCAAGTTTTGTAACCCGGACAACAATCCGGATGATGGGTGGTATAAAAAGATGGATGCATGCATCACTCCTTTACCTCAAGTGAACCATGTGCTTGAGAAATGGCCTAAGAGGTTGAATACTATTCCGCCAAATCATGATTTCGGAATGAAAGATTTGGTTAATGATAATTTGTTATGGAAAAAGAGAGTTTCTGAGTATGTGAAAGTGGTTGAATCGTTATCGAATGGTGTGTATAGAAATGTTATGGACATGAACGCGGGATTTGGAGGCTTTGCAGCTTCTCTTTCTAAGTATCCGGTTTGGGTCATGAATGTTGTTCCTCATGATTCAAAGTTGAAAACCCTCAGCATTATCTATGAACGTGGCCTAATCGGGACTTACATGAATTGGTTTGTTTTTTTTATTTTTTTTAAAGACTCCAGCATATATAGAGACAGATGAGACTATATCTAGCTGATGATTGTTTGTTAATTTCTTGGCTACAGGTGTGAACCGTTCTCGACGTATCCTAGATCATACGACTTGATACACGCGGACAACATATTTAGCTTGTACATGAACAAGTAAGCCCATCATTCGAGTTTTGGATTGTTATACCCTTAACTTCAATTACTAAATCGACTCTTTTTTTGCATTTACACAGGTGTGACATTATCGACATATTCATTGAGATGCATAGAATCCTTCGCCCTAAAGGGACAATCATAATCGCGGATCATGTAGATATTGTTATGAAGTTGAAAAGTCATACAGATCAAATGAAATGGCAGACTAAACTATCAGATACCGAAACTAGCCCTAGAAAGTTGTTTTTTGTTAACATTTAAATGCATCAAGAAACTATAGAGCGTTTAGATTTTTTATTATAGTTTTATGACAAGAAATATATATTACGTAAATGTCTTTTCGAAAAATAAAAATAAAAATAAAAAACTCTCACTTGTTTTCTCCATCGCCTCCATATTCTGTGGAATTCCCATTCCAAAAAGCGTTTTTACCATTAAATTTGGTATCATCTTCATCTCTTTTCAACGTGTGAATATTGCTTCCACTTCCAAATCTTGATGAGCTTGGGTTGTTGATTTGGTTATCTGTTACAAGATATGACCTTCTACTGCCCGTAAAGCTGCCCGGATTAGACCCTGAAAATACATAACAATAAGCCTTTCGTGTTGTTATAAATGTAAAAATTAAAAAAGATTTTAATTTTAATTTTAATTTTAATAAAATAATAATCACCAGAACCAGATTCTTGCAAAGTCGTTTGAGTATTATCCTGTACAGAGTTATTGCCACCAAAATAGGCTAAAGGGTTAACATATGATAGAACCTTTCTCCAAAGTGAAAAATATCCTTCGCCATCTGGCGCTGACGTGGCAGTGGTGGAGACTGATGTGTCACGGTTAGGTATGACAGATCGCGGTTTGTAGTGACTGGTGGATTTCAGATGTGGAACTATTATTAATGCTTGTCTATCGAGTAGATTTAACTCTGTTAATGTCTTGGTTAAATCTGAAATTATGGGGAAAAAAAAATTAATATAAAAATAAATCTTTTGAAGATTTTTAGTAAAGTTTTTACCTTGGTCAGTGAAAACCTTGCGAGGGTAAGGAATGGCTAGATCATAAGGGCCAATGCTACTTTCTTGTTTTTCATCTATGTGATTTTTCACCATTTTTAAAGTGCTTGTAGGTTCGAATTTTTCTTGGACATTTATACCCCCGGGTAATCGTATGTTCAAATGAATATCGGTTGATTTGTTTGTGTTTGAATCCAAATCTGAATTATCAATATCAACCTTTTCAGACTTTTTTACATCTTTAACCACTTGAGGAGCTTTCAAGTTTGGTTTTTTGTCAATTTCAGATTCAATTGCAGTTGTGATCACTTGGTTAACTGATTTGCTACTTGTTGTAACTGAATTATCAATATCAGATTTTTTGTCATGATCTACATCTTTTTTATCCACTGAAGCATTGTCATTTGTATTAACTGATAATGTTGAAGAACTTCCAGTTTCAGGTGATGTGGAAGGAGGAATTGCAGAGGGAATTTGTTCAGATTGTCTGGAGACAAGTGCTGCAGATAAAAAAGAGGCAGTTGTTTCCTGTAGAAGAAAATGTAATTTGTAATTATAATTTATACTTTTTCTTACAAATTCACAAAGAAGAAAAGAAAAATAATATAATTTCTCAAGTACCTGAACATGAAGACTCAACCATTCTTTCTCAAGGGTTGAAGCCAGAACCTCACCACTAACAAAACCCTCTGCTCATTATTTAAAAGATAACAAAAAGAAAATACAAATTCAGTGTATTTATAAAAGAAAGACATCCCAAATATAATAAAGGTTGTAACTTTACCATTTTGCCATAGTTGGATGCCATTATATCCAATAGCTGTTATACAAGGAGCAGGTTTTTGTGGGTCTATTCAAATTGATGTAAGGTACACATATTGTGTTATTAGTGAAAATAAAGAAATTTCATATACCAATGAAGAACTGGAGATTTCAGAATTTCAAATTTCAATCAATCAAAGGATACATAATGCAGAAAATTGAGCAGCATCTGTGCTTCCTTCCAAAATGTGCAACAAAATGCAGTACTTTGATAATGACTCTGCCACCTAAATTCAGTCAACTCTCATTAGATGATAAAGTTGTTCAAGAACTATAGTATGCTGTATGGAAATTTGTGGCTTGAAATTGGTATTATATTACATGAGATGTAATGTAACATATTAGTTTCATTTAATTGGAAAAGATATCATATTAGACATTTATGATTTAACTCACACTAGACATTGACCAAGTAGATTTATCCATAGAGATTGAGTCTTCATTGTCACCTGTAAATAGGAAAATCAAAGCATTTTAAACAAGCAGATATTGTATTCTAATGTTGTATCAAAACGTTTGCTCCATTGATCATATTTGTTTCTAGTATCTAGAGTAAATTATTGTATTTTTATCATTTACAGTAATGCTATTGTATGTGGATGATGCCAAAATCTTGATTTTATACTCCTCAAGGATCCTTAAGGATATAACTTTTGGTATCTAGGAGGATGATGAGGAATAAGAACAGATATCATGAAAGAGAACATGTACCTGAAATGTAAACTAGAAAAAGTTTTTTCTGCCTTTTCGCTTCAGTGATTGCTTCAATGATAGAACCTTTGAATGCCAGAGAAGAGATAGATTGCTCCATCTGTACAAAATACATGCCCATTTTAGGACTGGGTAAGCAAGGATGTACTCGTTACCTATTCTAACTTTACTCTGAGAAAAAAACAGAATGAAAAGATAAAAGTGGTAAAACCTACTACACTGAGTTTTTATGTATGCATTTCAAGATTCGAAGTGCAAATAAAATAGAAAAACATTATCAAATCCAACTATAAGAAGGACGTTGCAATGATTAGATAAAGGTGAGTTCGAAATCCATGAATTCTTTTGTGCTTGGTGGAATTAGGTTAGGTGTCGTCTTCTCTGGGATTCAACAATGTATCTATATGATCCGGTGGAAACTATAGCAGTCAAAACTAGGAAAACCTAAAGTCTTATGCGATTCAAGAGGTGCATCCTAAATCAGAAGTAGCAAAACAAAAAGAAACGACTTTGGCAGTATGCCGATGAAGTAAAAAAACAAAGAACCGGAAATAGGCGTTCACTCATATCGAACCGATTATGATGGAGTTCGATTGCTCGATTTAGAACCCTAATTCGTAATCAATCACATTTAGCTTCGACTATGCTACTCAACACATGATCGAAATTCAAATCAGAGATCATCTACTAACATCCGGCTTAATTATCAAAATTCTTAACCGTGCTAGTGAACACAATCCACAGGTCATGAAATTGAACACAACTAGTGGCTGTCGCACATGAATCACAAGAGTCTCGGATTTCCAAATAAGTAAATAGTAATTTACAATCAATTGACTGAAAACGTTGGTGAAATCTAGGCAAAACAAAGTTCGTACCTTAGGTATTTGTGACGGTTCTTATTCTTCACCTTGATTTTCCGTGTGTTTATGATGGAACTCTCTGCAACCACTATTTGTCCATTTTAGACAACCAAAAAAGTCTTCTTTGATGGGCTAAACTCGTGCTTCTAAAAATCGGATAAACAAGAAGAGAGGGTGTTCGGTTTGTTTTTTTGAAAGTTAAAAGTCCTTTTTGGAAAAGATAAAAGGTAAAAGATGTTTGGTAAAAACATTTTAAAAGTTACTTTTGGATTTTGGATATAAGAAAAACCTGATTTTTTGTAACTTTTTCAAAAATGACTTTTGCCTCTCAAAAAGACAAGTCAAACACCTCCATAGTAAAATATTTTTTTATAAAAATTTACATATAAACAGTCCCTATGGTTTTTTAATTCATAAGTTTCTATTTATATTTTATTCATTATATTCTTTGTGGTTTCATTTCATGGCATGATTATAAATCGACTAAATACCCTATTTTTAATTTATTTATATATCTCTTACTATAGCTTTATTTAAAAAAATACATAAACCCACCCCTAAACCCCGCCCACTTCTCTCCCAACGTCTTCATCTTCATCGTCGGTGAAAAGAAATACATAAGCATTTCGGTGAAAAGAAATGCATAGGCAAAAATGAACCATATACATAGAATTATACCTTCTGTTTCAATACAATCATACACACTAACTAACCAAATATGATATGCATAGAAGTTGAACCATATATGATAGGAAAAAATGAACCATGTACACACCAATAACAAGAAATCGAACAAAATATTGAAACTTAAACCTGACGAATATCCTCAAATAACATTTAATTTCAATACAATCATACACACTAATTAACACAAATTGTGTGACACGGGAATATACCCATAGATCGTTCTTAGAAGGCTAGTGTAACACCCCCCGTTTCATAATTCAGGGTCGTGACCCGAAAATCAAGTATCATAACGCTTCGAGCTTTGGGGAAATAGAGGTTTAGACCCATTTGGAAGTGGGTAATGTAGATTATGTGATCCAAGAGTGCGGATTGTGCTTCAGAGCCCAAGGGCATAATGGTAAAAGTGATGCTTCAAGCCTTTTCTTTGAATTAAGGATTTTAGTTCGATGTGTTTTAAGTCAAAAGTAACTAAATAGGGTTGTAGAGCTCCTCAATACCTTTCAGTGGATATAAAAATCGTTGAAAACGGAGTTGGAACGAAGAAGTTATAATTGTTAGAAGTTGGGAAGGTTTTGGACTTAGTCTAGTACATTGGGCGTACAGGAAGTACGTTGGGAGTACTATGGCATCCCTGGTACGTTGGGCGTATGTGATCAGAGTCCAAACCTTATTTTCGTGGTTTGAGCCATATTTAAGCTCATTAACTTCCCCAAAGCCATTCCATTCTCGGCCTCCACCTCTCCAACACCCTCCCTTGAAAACCTTAACCCTAGTTTGAGTCTTTTGAGCAAAAAAAGGTGCTCTTGAGTGCTTTGGAGTGTTCTTGGTGCAGAGCTCTTTGGAGAAGTGTTGGTTACATTGGAGCTTGTAGATCCAGACTTTGTTCACCTTGATCTTTCTTCTAAAGGTATAAAGTTTGAATCTTGATGATGCATTTGATAGATCTAGCTAGCCTTGGGTGTTATGAACTTTTGGTCACTTTAGTGCATAGAGTTTAGATCTTGAAAGTTTGTGACCTTGTCTGGATAAAGTTGGAAACTTTATCCATTTAAACATCATATTGATTCATATCTAAAGGCTTGAGACTTGGACTTAATGGATTAAGTTGGGAAAGATGCAGTTTTGGTCCCTTGGAGACTTAAAGACTAGATCTTGGTTGGTTAGACCATTTTAATGGATAAAGTTGGAAATTGTATCCATTATGGAGTTATTAGGAACCATAAAAATGTAATCTTGGACCTTAGTTTCCTTCCATGCATGAGCTAGGATGTCTTAAAGAGTTAAGAAGTTAGTGTTTTTGGTATTGAGCATTTAATGGTCATGCAAGACCATAAAGTTGGAAAATTTATGGTTAGGGACATCATTTGAGGACTAGATATGGAATTTAAACGAAAGAGCTTAAGGGATTAAGCTCTTAATAGAAGGAAATGATGGTTACACGTACGATAGGCGTACACTATGGTACGTAGGGTGTACGAGGTCAACACCCATGTTTTCTGGTCAAGGCTTGTGTACGCTAAGCGTACAGGCTGAGTACGTTGGGCGTACTCAGTTGAATTGACTCGGTTGACTTATTGGCTTTTCGACATTGACCTGTCTTTGACCAAGTTTGACCTAGGGGTATTTTGGTGTAACATCCCAAATAATCACAACCAATTTAAACTTTTCAAAACAAACCATTTACTAATAAAAGTGTTTACAAAACATTGTTTCCAAACATTATTTAAAATCAGAGTCTCCCAAGACCAACAACATAAAAATCAGGATGTGTACGGTCATGCATTTGCCTTGTCACGGTCCTCTGAAGTACTTGAAATCATAAACTAAATTATAAGCACAAAGCTTAGTGAATTTCCCTCAAAGTACCAGCACACATTACACATATCATATACAAACAAGCATGTTGGGTCCAATCAGTCGTCGGACTAGAATACCCACGAGTCCACAACCATCAGGCTGGATTACCCCAGGCCCAATCAATCATCGGACTGGAATGCCAATATATAACAGCTCTACTCAGTCATCGGACTGGAATACTAATATACCACGGGTCCAGTCAGTCATTGGACTGGAATACCTACGGGTCCACAACCATTGGGTTGGATTACCCCTGAGCCTATAATATGAGTCTGGCTTGCCTATCAGGCCCACAACTCATATATGGCTTGCTCTTGAGCCTACATTATAAGTCTAGCTTTCCCTCGGGGACCACAACTTATGTATGGCTTGCTCCAGGGTTTGTTGTGTAACGCTCACAGATCCAGGCTAGTCAATTTAGAGACGATGAGCATCAAAAATGAGTTTTTGATGGAAGATTATCTAGAAGGATTCATCTTAACCAAGTTTTAGTATATGTTACAAGGGTTCCGTACATATAAATAACACCGAAATCCAAGTTATAACGAAGAAGTTATGGCCCGTCGAAGTTTTACGGCAAAACCGGCACGGCACCGGGAGACGTAAATAGTGAATTTATGGTAGAAGAATTTGTAGCCTTAGTGATCTAAACAAAATTTGTAGTATACGTTAAACCGAGAACATACAAAAAAAGAACGCCCAAATTTGACTTCGTATGAGTAAGTTATGAATTTTCTAAGATTTGGCATAGCAGTGCACGACCCGAAACTCGAATTTTTGTTCGAGCGGTTTTTGGCCTACGCGACCTAAATGAGAGTTGAAGATCTCATTAATAGGAACTCAACGGTAAAAAGACAGACGAAAATGGAGTCTGTATGTAGAAGTTATGAATTTTACGCGGACATTTAACAGTATAATCTCCTCCTACTGTTAAATTTAAGATCGGTCGAGAATTAGCCGACGGAGTCTAAATGAAAGTTTTAGATCTTGTTTTTACCTACGCGTGGATATAAATAATGTCGAGAGTAGAGCTCGTATGTTAAAGATATGGACGAAACTTGGTCCCTACTCTTCGAGCGCGATAAATTCGATACAGTTTTGTAAATCTGAGATAGAATGAGAATTAGTTGACGGCGTCTAAATGAAAGTTGTAGTACTCGTAAATACCAATGCGTGGATATAAAGAACGTCAAAAATGGATTTCGTATGAACGAGTTACAAATTATAATAGCATATTTACGTATTAAAATAAAGTATAAATCATATATACGTACACATATATATACAAATGTATATATCATTAGAAAGGTATCGACGATGCGGTTATTATAAGACTAGTGTTGAGTACTTTCGACATTAGTTTAGTACAAATATCGTTAAATCTATTTAAAATAGTATTATGAAGGGGTGTTTAGTCGTTTTATATAACTATAAGGTCATTAAGTAATTATGGAGGGTAGTTTTTGTAAATTCAATTACTATAAATAAGAGGCTTGGGCTCTCATATTTCTTGCACCATTCTCTTGATTCAAGAGTCTTTCTCTTCTTATCCCCCGAACATTTCGGTCGCTCGTGATTCGACTTCTCTTTCTGTAGTTTTAGTATAGTAAGGTGAGCGCTGAAGCGATGCACGAATCTTTCTTAGAAAGATTCAGCGACGAAGTTCTGCCCCTGCAGAGCCCGACTGCTAGTTAAAACCCCCCTTGTAAGTTATGCTTACCTATTTTAATATAGCTTATATTTAAAATTAGTATTGTTATTATGAACTTATAATAAATATTTGAGCTATTATTATTACTTATATAAGTGTCGTTATAATATCTTTTTAACTACTCGCGGTACGGGGAATCTGGTTTAAAGGGCTGCATAGGGTTGTTGGATTTTAGAAGTGCTATATGCCAAAATGGTCCTGCCCTCCGGTGTTTTATGTCTGGCCCCTGTCTGTACATAGTGGTTGGAAAGTATTGTTTAAACGTTTATATAATAATAATAATAATAATAATAATAATAATAATAAGACTAATAATTAGTCACGGTAAATATTAGACTAAAATCTAGTGGTAATAATATTAGGTTTCGTCGAAGGAAATTATTTTAAAGTAAACGAAGCGCTGTCCGAGTACCGAGTCACCACCTTATCAAGTGAGTGCATAGTTACTTTCATCTTACACATAGATATGAAGTATTATAATATAAATTACGTGCTATGTGTGCATATTGTCTGAATACTTGTTGTCTATGCTGAATGAAAGATTTTATACATGTTTTAAATGATTTAAACTGTATATATATTTTATATCTACAAAATATGTTGGGTAAAACATGGGTAGATGAAATATGAGTCGGATGATGAGGTGAGAGGTGAAATAGACCATGAGGTGAGGGTGAGAGGTGGATGATGTGAGACGCCTTTTACCCAAATGTTGGCGCCGTCATCTAGCAGAGTATGGATGACAACCACAGACTATTCTAGACAGTCCAGTGGAACACTAGCAGGCTCGCATCCTGTAGGTGTTGTGAACGATGTGTTCACCGGTGTACTCTAAAAAACCCATTGACATGTATTGCGAGTGGACTCTCGAGAATGATACTGTCAATAAACGAGATAACCCTGGCAGATGCGCCTAAAGGACTCTACCGGCAGAAGCGCCTAATAGAGAACCTCATAACCCCGGCAGATGCGCTTAAAGGACTATACCGGCAGATGCACCCCATAAAGAATGTCACAATTCAGGCAGATGCGCCTAAGTGATAATATTAGCAGTTGTGCTTGACAGATGTGTCATTAGCAACGATAGATTTCGTGCCTATTCCTTAGGATAATCCTTAGGAATGAATGAACGAGGAATAGCTGATTCTTAGGGTAGATCCTTAAGAGTAAAGAAGATAATGGGGATGGGTAATTGGGTTGATTGTTTGATATTTAAAAATAATAATTATATTATTGTGGGTTGAAAACCCTATGTACTCACCAGGTTCCCCAACCTGACCCACTCAAGCTTATTTGTATCACAGGTGTCGATATGAAGCTACTTTACACCGAGAGATTTAAAAGAGATGTAGATCACTAGTGTAAATGAA